TCCAGAACAGAGGTCTCATTTATCAAAGCGAGCGTAAAACAAGTACTAAATATGTGAGTAAGAGCCGCCTGTGCGCACAAGAAAATTGGTAGTTATCACATGCATTCACACAGCTGTACGCAATGACCAAAGTGATAAATCCCACACATTCTAAATTGATGTGCTCATGCACGGCCACACTCATTTGCATAAAGAAACGCCCTCGAATCACCATATATTATAAACAACTTCTCTTTAAAAAGCACAGTGGGCTGCTCGAGGTGCTGCGTGTTTCAGACGACATGGACAATGCCAAGAGGTCTAAGGAGATGAACTTCACTGACAATGAAATAAAGATACTGTTGCATGAAGTACAGGAAAACAAAAATGGTTTATTTGGCTCTTATGAGTAGTTTGTCATATAAATAAATAAATACAATTATATATATATATATATATATATATATATATAATATTTTATGAGTACGTTTTCCATTCTATTTCCCAAATTACATTTAGAAACTCTGCGATGGCATGAAAATTCGTCATTTTTGCTCTTTTCCATTGCTTGTGTTAGAAATGTAATGTATTGCAGTGTGAGAGATATGAATGAAGGTAAGACGTGTCATAATTCAGCTCGTAGTTGGTTGGGAAATGCCATTCCATCTCCAAGTTCTCTTTGAAATGTACTTGTAGCTAAAAGCCCTGGAATAGAGATCAACTAAATCTGCCCTGGGGAAACGACACCGACTGATGATCCACTCCTCACTCTCAGCCTAGAAAAACTTGATAAATCCCATACAGTGCTTGGAAACGTTCATATGCACTGTTTACGCACAAAACTATGTACGCCCCAGGAGTAAATGAGGCCCCAGGCTACAGCTGCGTTGTCACATGAGTATAGATTTTTGCAGCACAGTGTGGGCCGTTAGCGGTGCTGAGAGTGCTGCCTGTTAAAGCGTTTTGTACTGTGAAATATTATGCATACCTGGTAACCTACACTGTGATCTTGTGGTGTGTTGCTCCTTTAAATACGTAGTCTAGGTCTAAACTGCAACAAATAAAATTCTTTACATGAACATAATATTATGACTTCTAATATTCTGCCTCCTGTCACTGTATATACAATATTTCAAGAAAGGGAAGCATGTGTGAGCTCATTATTTTGGTAGTGGGGTTCAGGGCCAGATTTAGCCTTTCTTGATTTGGGATGCAGTCAAAATGTCTGGTGGGTGTCTTTTACAATCATGCTTGTCCATAAAATATAATATTGGTATCATAATGAAGAATTGCAGGCTTACTTCCTATATTTAGTTTACATTTTATTTTACTTTTCACTTCTCCACAGCCATCCACAAGGACAGTGGTATAGTGTTCATATAGCTCAGTACTATCCTATTGTCATGTTGTCATAATTGATTTGTTTGTGTTTGTTTGTTTGTTTATTGATTGACTGATTGACTGATTGGCCATATACATCTAAGCCAATGGTGTCAGGGGTGTTTTGTGAGACCCTGAAGGGCCGCAATCCAAGGCTATTCATTTTTAACTTATTTACCATATTCTATTGATTAACACCAATAACCTGGGCTCTGAACTTAGAAAAGAATGTTTCTAGGATAAAGAAGAGCTAAAAGAATCTATTTAAGTATATGCACTATTAGATGATAACATTTTAATGGCTACCAGCTCCTACAGTGAGAAACAGGATTAACCACTTGGGATCACGCATTTTCCTTGTTTCCGTCTGAAAGTCACTTGCTGGATAGCTAGACTATAACACACAGAGATATCACAGTGAGATCTGCTGAAGTAGCTGCTGGAGGTTTACTGGAATTACCTTTGTTGTGATGAGGACATATACAAAATAAAATCATGACTGCATGATCATTTTAAGGCTCAATCTTCCAACAAACATCCTTGCCATATTAATAGCGCTGCCATAAATGACCTTTAGGATAGTTTCCCTGAAATTCTTATAAAAGCATGTCAATAACAGGGGAACATTATGCCTTATCTTATAAATCCTGATCTAATTTTCTTTTCCTCTTACTGCTGTTTACGCCACTGCCCACATCCATCTTGTTTCTGAATTATGTTATGGATGTGAGTGTGACTTGCAGCAGAAAAGGTTGATTTTAAGCAGCGTTTCAGCACAGAGATGAGCGCTGGGTCCATGACCAGGGGCCCACTGTCTCATAATCCATTCTTGAAAACAATATTTTACTGAAAAATTACAAAAAATTGTATTAAACATAACGGGAAAAGCTTCAATTATACAATTTACCACAATTCCCACCATATTGGGATTCACAAGATTGGCCAAAAATGTTCTCAGGATCGGTACCTCATTATTGGGCTACCAAAGGAGGCAAGAAATGCAAATTTAAAAAAAAGTGAAGTGACCACAATCAAATACTCTTGTTAAAACAAGTTCTATGTGTCGTAATGTTTGGGATAGTAAGAACAACGAGATTCTTTCATACTAGCTGTTTTTTTGTTTGTTCGTTTGCTTGTTTTTTTTTCCAGAATAGTTGCTTGGTGGAGTTTATGTTGGAATATTCGCAATGAAATCTTTATTATTCAGTGTGTCACTAATCTCCTTATATTCGCTCATGAACAAGGCTATTTTTTCGCCTGAAAGTTTGTCCTCCATGTTTGCTTTTCTTACTTACCCCATAACTGAGATCTGATTGGTTGGGAGGAGAAAAAGCGACTTTTTTCAGGTCAGCTGTGAAAGCAGCCTCACTAAACGTGGTACATAATCATCAAAATGAATAAAGCTTAAAGTAACTTGGTTGATCTTCATTGTTTTTTTCACACTCCCTACATCCTCTTTATAATGATCCTTTCAGAGCATTTTTATATTTCCTCTTGACCTGATTAAAAGAGAGGAATCAGATTTTTTATCTTTGTGCTCAGTGTTGCAGTTTATTAACTTACACTCTCCAAAATAATGAATTCTCATTTCTGAGGAGAGTTCAAGTGGCAGAAAGGTTCGTATTCCTTTTCTTATTAAGAATGTTGAGCTTCGCTGTTCACACTTTGAGAATGAGTTGGTTAGTTTAATGCACTCTACATGCTTTATTTAATTCACATTTTGTTTGTCATTGCAGAACCAGGAGGTTTGTCCCAGAATAAAATGTGTGTGTGTGTGTGTGTGTTCTTATTCTGCTTCTGCTGACAAGCACAAGATCTTTTTTTTTATTTGCTTATCATGCAAATGGACTCTGTGAGTCATACACCTCATTATTATCAGAATCATTATCTTTTCTTGGAAGTCTGAAAACTGTTCTAATGTAGAAATATAAATATTATCCATGGATCTGCTAACATCTGACATCAACTCTGATCTACGAATAATCTCAGAGCCTCAGTAAACATCTACACAGGAATAGAAATAGAATGAGAATGAGATCTCAGTGCTCTGTGGGAAAGTGTGTTTCTAACAGAGACTGATTTTTGTTATTCTGTTTTCTTGATATAAAAACTATATGAGATATTATTTTATTAGACTTGTGATAGTTGTCAGAGACGGCGGTGGGCGATCAGCTGTGATGAAAAGGCCGTTATCTGAGGCTGAGTGTCCCCGGATTTGGATGAGAAAATCTCCTAATGGCGGCTCTTAAAGCTTAATCATGAGAGTTTAATGATGGGGTTTGTCATATTGCCACAAAGCCAAAGGCTAAAAGCTAATCACATCACATCGTAATGGAGCTCTGCTTTTAATATAAATGAAATAAGGAAGCATGATTTGGAGGCCTGAGCCTCAGGAAAGAGCTGATATTGATTACTGCTGAAAAGGTAATGGAAGCTAAATGTGTTTTTTTTAAATAACAAAAAATAATAGCAGATTAGCAGAGATATTCAGGATTGCATGGGGTAATTGTTGTCTTCAGAAACATTAGTCTTGAATGGGTATCTATGTAGCACAAGGGCACAATCTGTATCGGTTTTGTGATTGAAATATCTGTATGCACGGGTGTTACGTGTCAGTGTGCCTGCTTCTGTGTGCGCCCTCTGCTCTTTTTTCACTGTTTGTTTGCTGCCCTCCTATTGGTGGATTCCAGTCGCAATCACCATTAACTGCTTGCCAGCACCTGACCAATGAGAACGCAGGAACCTGACCAAAGGAGGCGGGGCTATTGGTTTAAAAGCAGCACATGGCACCCTTGCATCAGCCATTTCGCTCAATTCTTGCTGTCTTCTAGCCTGTTAGTCAAGTAGCTTGCTGGATGGCTGGATGGATGGATGTTGTTCCAATATTTACTATTGTCAAGCTGTTTAAAAATTTATACTTCTTTTGTAATTTGTCTGTCCCCTTGTTCCAGCCCCATGTTGTGACTAGCACCAACAGTTTGTTGTTGTGTGCTATTTCCTTCCATCCTTATGCTATCCTACATACGATCATGTAGGTGCTTTTGAATGTCTAGACACATTAGGTTAGAGGGCAGGTGCCACTCCTTGTATTTTTTGTTAGCTTAGCCTAGTGTAGTTAGTTTCCATTCGATGTTTTTTGGCAGTCAGATTAGCTACTTTAAATACAGCCTAATGTAGTCCATTTTTGTTACGTTCATTGCTTTGGCACTGTCCAAGTTCTCTCTCCTTGGTGAGACTAGTTTCCCTGTTGTCCTGGTTTTGTGGGTGTCCTGTTGTACTTATTGTTTGTGAATGCCGGTCTTGTGTGTGTAACAGTAATAAAAACTTCAACTTTTAACCATGTGACCTGTCCAACTCTTATCCACAATCTCCACTACTATCCATCCAAATCTCACTTTGTTGTCGTTCTTGCATTCACCCTAGACCTTAGTCTTCTGTGGCATTGTAACAGTGGGTGTGGCCTAAATGTTGTTGTTGTTTCAGCTGCTCCCATTAGGGGTCACCACAGTGGATCATTGGTCTGATTTGGCACAGTTTTTATGCAGGATGCCCTTCCTGATGCAACCCTCCCCACTTTTATCTGCGCTTGGGACCGGTACTGGGAGTGCACTGTCTTGTGCAACCCCAGTGGCCGGGGTTGGTTCTCTGGACAGGAATCGAACCCGGGCCATGGCAGTGACTGCACCGGGGCCTAACCACTAGTCCTCCAGGGATCGGGTGTGGCCTACATGTATCAATCATAAATAAGATGCCAAGATACTTAAACCAGTCCACCAGGGGCAACGTCTCTCTTCACCTGAAGAAAACATCCCACTATTTTCTGCGAAAGAACCATGGCCTTGGATTTGTAGTTCCTGATTTAGTTGTGCTGAAATGGCTTGTGTACTTCAGTGAATCTCAGCGATATGTCAGTGGGAGTTTAATGCTCCCAGTACAGCTACATTCTGACAACAGATCTGTGTGGAGAGGTCAAAGAGTATCCCTAATGACCCCCATATAAAATACAAGAAATACTAAAGCTGTTTCAAACTTTGCTTGATTCAGCCAATTTAAGTGGACTATGCATTTCCCCCTCAATCTGTGCTCTGTGTGTGAATGCTCCAAATAAGCTCAGATCCCCAGAAAAAGAACCAAACTTAGACCATCTCAGGAGGTTCATCATGTCTCTCCTTGACATTTGGAGTGAGGATTGTATACAGAACCAGTTAGTTACAAATCACAAAAACACTAAAGCGTTTGAAAGTTTTTCATGAAAAAAAAGAAGATGAAAGGGTTTGACAGGAAGCAAATAAAATCCCGGAACAAGCTAAAGAAAATGAGACACTGGTACATGCGAGAGCAATGCCAAATTAGACAGTCAGTTATTGGTCTCAGTCCAAAAGGAACAAGTGTGAATGGGACTGTAAGAACCCAAGGCTAGAGACAGTGTGAAAAGTATTCTCTTTCTCTCAGCCCACTTTCCTGGCCCAGTTCTGAGTTCGGTTCTTTTAACCCAACCCTGCAGCATCTGGTGACCGGGTCTCTTGATAATATAAAAAAAGGAACTAAAACATTTATCTACCTACTAATTTTGTGACACACTGTATACAGTGATGGGAGTGAGGATACTGAGAGACGGTGATTGTTTATTTACTTTTTCACATGCTTATAGCACTTCTCTTGGCAAACTAAATCACACAAGCATCAAGCAACAATAAAAATAACTTTTATATGAATTGAAAGAAATAGGAGGGAGATCTCTACTCATTTGTTCCTGCCTCATCATTAGGAAAAAGGAAACTAAAATTAAAATAAAAATAAAATTCAATCAAAGAGCAGTTAAAGTTGAGAGAGAGAGGATGTGTTTCAGTCTGAATGTGGATGAGTGTGTGTGAGTCTGAATCTTTTTTCACAGAAGTTCATGTCCCATTGTTTAATGAGCTCTCTTGCTCTACTCAGAGAAACTATAATCATACAAACTTCAAGTCTCACTCAAATAACAAGGTTAATTGGCTCAAGTCTTGCAAAAGCTCATTTGTCGTTTGTCAGCTTCTCGGCTCTTCACTCTGTCCATTAAAAAAGTAGCAAGACAAGGACAAATCATACAGCTCATGCGGAGGAAGAAAACATCTGCTTCTGAACAATTTAAGTTATGCTGTGAGGGGCCAAATGAGCTTTTTGAGACTTTACTGCATTAAGTAATAGTTAAAGAAAATGCTGATGAATCGTAAACTTCTGTCAGTGTACAGGCAGGTACTGTATATGATGTAGGTGAGTTTGTGAAAGATGATCAGAAATAATACCTCAGATGAAACTCAACTTATGGTGTGTGTGAGCTTTTTCTCCAGCAATCCATTGTTTGGCCTTGTTCTGACATCACTTCATTTCACATACTGCAGTCATGCCATAAAGCATCTTTAATTATTTTATGCCATGAACATCCTTGTACTTTGTAGGTTTTCTCTCTCTAAAAGAGATTTTGTATCTTGGGTTGGACTTGAGCTTGTAAGATTATGACTTCAATTTAAAAATCTTTACTAAATTTTGTGTGTCATATGTTAATATAGTGTTAGAATGTTTGTTTCTTCAACATTAAATAAACACAAACTACACTACTAACATTCATTACGGTAGCGAGTTCACGTTCAGGACTTGGGCATGACTTGTAGAAGTATACAGACTGTGAAACTTAGGCTTGACTTGACTCAAGTGTAGATAAGAAGTTTTGTAAAGTTTATCAAACCTTAAAACCTTTTATGTTTAAAGGTCTCAAATAATGTATAAATGTTGGCTGATTATCAAATATATTTTTTTAATTTAATTAGAATGCAAGGATGTCCAGTTTTGGGAATTTGAACATGATCAATGTTTTGCCTTTACTCAGTGTTTTACCTGGTTTTGACTTTATTTCTCTGTTTCCCAACTCTGATCTGGTTTTGAATTTTCTCATAATTTATGGTTTTTGGTAATGACTGCTAGCTTGTATCGGAACATGAATGCGCCTGTCAGTTTCAAATTGGTTTAAAAAAACACCTTGCAACTGCATCCACCTCCAACTCAATTTGTGAAAATAATCACCTTGTGTTTAAAACTTGTGCTGTGAGTCAGTAAGTAATAAACTCTGCCCAGACCCTATGCAGTATCTATCTGCAAACTCTTTCTTATGCCAAAGCCGCTATTTTAGTTAAATTGGACAGCTTCTTAAAACTCTGCTGACTTGTGCCAATAGCTTTACTCATCACCACATTCAGATTGCTGTCCCACTATTTGGCACATCCTCATCTGAAGCCACAGCCAGAACAATGTCACTGAGAAGCACTGGAGCATCGACCTGAAGAGACATTCTGGCTTTCAACCTGGCACAGTAACATCTGCTTACTCAGCCTGTATTTCATCACACCATTCAGGATCCTTCTCCTCCAGCACACCAACTGCTCCTGAAGACCACATTTAACTTTCTCTTCCCATACTTCCCCACAGACTTGTAGGTCCAGGTCCACTCCCGGAGATGGTGCTGCTAGATGAGTCATCATAGAGGGTCAACTGTCATACACTGGAGTCCCTGTTAAGCCTGGATTATAGTTGCTTTTAATTTTGCATATGTAAGATGGCAGCAGCATGTGCACATGCTCAGAAATGAACACTACACATCTAACATTATGGGCAGTATAGCACCATGTGACACTGTGTCCGCTACTGAATCACCAAACTAGCGTGGTGTAACTAATCACATCCTTATGTACTATTCTCGAGTACTAACACTAACCAGTTTTCCTATTACAGTTAGTGTTTGATTTTTAAAAACCTCTACCGTAGCCTTCAAAGGTCTGTTTTGCATTTACATTTACATTTACGGCATTTGGCAGACGCACTTACAGAAGAAGTTTTGCATACCAGTCTTCTGGATTTTCTAGATTAGGAAATACCTTTGAATGTAAGGTCTGAGTCCATGAAAAGAAATCAGTAAGTATCTGCGAACAATATCTCGGAACCTATGCTGATGGCAGTCTTCTATATTTCTGCATCAGTGCTACAGTTCTACACAGCGATCATCGAGTCCATCCTCACTTCATCTATAACGTCTGGTTTGGATCCTCCACCTTACAAGAGCAGGCCAAACTCCAATGCATGATCAGGACAGTTTAGAGGATCATCAGATGTAGTCTGGCAACGTTTCAGGACATTTACATATGCATTCCTGCACTACACTACAATGTTCATATCATACTGTAACATACTGTAAACAATAGTTATTTTATTTCTGTTTCCTCAGACCCAACATGTATATATTTTCACTTCTTCATTTTGTGGTTACTTTCACAATTGCTACTTTATATCCTAACTTTTACTCTATTATTCTACTTTTATTTTCTAGTTAAATGTACAGTATATTGTCTTGAATATTGTGAATAGTTTGTGCACTTGTCTGGTCTGTTCTGCACGACAAATTCCTCATACGTGTAATATATTTGGCGAAATAAACAGGTTCTGATTCTCACCTCACCTCTAGAGACTGGCATGTTGTGTTTTCCATATGACATTATTGTCAACATAAAGTTTGCATTGTGGATGTATAATTGGATTTTTGGATTTGAATCAGTGATTTCTGGCGTGGTTTGAGTCCTCGGCTCAGCGTGGTGTCTGGTTTCTGCTTGGATGGAAATAAAGAGTGACTGCACATTAATAAATTACGCATGATTCCTCTGGATGGTGTTTATTTGGGCATACTGAGCCAATATGGCAGCCCATCTCTCACAGGCATGGCAGCTTCAATTATTTCCAGCATTTAGGCTTCCTGCTCATTTCACCAGAGAAACTTCACACACACAGTGAAAGAAGGGAAATTCTCAATTTCGATGGCACAACGATGCTCAACAAAATGATCCGTCAATCTTCTTGTGGTTTCCCTAGATATTCTGCTGGATAGAATAAACAACTCCTGCAATATTGCATGCTACATATCAGTTATATTTTTGACACTTTTGTTTTTTTTATTTCATTCCTGACAAGCATACCTTATACCAGGCCTTTTCACTTTATCATTTTTAGAGTTCTTTTCTGCCTGTGAGATGAACTGGAAATGAAATGAAACCATGAAAACTATGAATTCCTTACTCCTTTTTCATGAAAGAGGCAGATCTGGGCTGAGAAAATGTAAACAGAACATTTAAATGAACAAACTAACAAGATCCATTGCATGGCACTGTTGCAGAATACTACTACAGAGCTGGGGTTCCACAGGGTTCAGTTCTGCTGCCTGTTAGTTTCTCTACATACAGGATTCATGATGCTGGTGATGATGTTTCAGATGTTTGATTTGCATTTATATGCTGATGACACTAACCTCTAATGTTCTGCCCAATCTTCTGCTGAGGAAATCTGATCTGATCTGTAAAAAGGATTACAGCAAAATCGCAACAATCTAAAATTAGTCCTAAGTGATGAAGAAACAAAATGCACAGTATTTTTTCTTTAAACAATGATGCATTTTACTGCTATCCCTTAAATATACACCTTTCAGGGTAGACCTACAGAATTAGTGTCATCATGTAAATACCTAGGATTTATTTTAGACAATGATCTTTGTTTTTTTTTTTAATCTTCACATCAAACAAATTACCAAAAAACACTAACGTAATATTTGGGGTTTTATTTTAGGAACAGTAATTGTTTTGTCCAACATGTTAGAAAAAAAAAAAACTTGGCGACTTGGCGATATTTTGTACATGCACGC